TTAAAAATAAGAGGGGGGGGAGGGAGAGAGAACAGGTCAAAATGGCCTCTCAGCTGTGTGGAGGTCATACTACAGAAATCCACCTGCCTCTGCCTCCCAGGGGCTGGGATTAAAGGTGTGTGCCACCACTGCCCGGCAGCATATTAGCTTCTTAAAAGAGGAAGATCTCAGTACACACACACACATGTAGATCTAGATCTAGATAGATTTAGATATAGATATCTCCACGTTAAAACCCTTCTTGGTAGGCTGGAGATGTCATCCAGTTAGTAGAGCACTTGTATGCCTATCTGTGCTGTTCAATAGTTGCTTGCCAGAGCCTGCCCATCTGCCTGCTGAAGGGCTGTTGAAAACAATTTTCCTAATCAAAAAGTATTACATAAACACTGGCCGTTATTATTAAATACTCCACAGACAAGAGGAGTAAGAATGGACTGTTTAGTCTGAACCCTGCTCCCACAGGAATGCTACACCACATCTCTGGAAGACCTTGTGCACATGACAATGTCTTTCCTGTTTGAAGGAAACTGTCATTTTTGTTTGCTCAGGGTGGGGAGCCACTCTACCCACTGAGTTACATTCCCCCAGAAATCAGTGGCCAAATAAGGGAACAGACCTTGGTGGCTAGCTTCAAGAATACAATCTAAGGGTTTTTAGCAAGGCAGAGGAAATGGGGAAGAAGGGAAGGTCTGCTGGAGCTACATGTTCAAGTGGGTTAGTGTCCCTTCAGTGTGCGTCCCCTGACACCCATGAGTGCTAGGAGCTCTGGCTGTGGAATTCTTTGTTCCCTCTGGCCTGGCCCAAGCCATTGCAGCTTCTTCTGGTGATTTGTGTGCAGAGGCCCCCACCTCACATGAAGCTTGGAATAATAAATCCTAGGTTTTAAATAAGTGTACATATTAATAAAACATGAAATGTAACAGAGCAAACAAGCCTAGATGCTCTGCTGGGATTTTCTGATTTGTTTCTCAAGACTAGTCTTCAAACTGCCTGTTGAAGGTTTTGTACAATAAAATATTAACTTGCTCAGAATGTGGGGAGTCTTTATCATAACAAGCACCTGAGTGAGATTCACTGAAAAATTCAGAAGGCTTTTCCTGCAGACTCATTTAAACAGCCATTGTGAAACACAAAGAACTGCTCTTCATAGCGTGTTCTAAATGGGAGGAAACAGACTTGCAAAGGGGTCCACATAAGCCACCTCTGAAGACACAATAAAGATAGGACAGTGAACACACTCCCTCACTGTCTAATCCCCATGGATTAACACAGCCAATGACAGCATTTAGAATCACAGCACAACTCTGTAATGGGGACAAAATTGTTAGCTAGCTCTTTCTCAGGCTCACCTCCAAGTCCCCAGTTATAACGGACAAGCAGTACAGTGTTGACGTGGTCTATTGCCCTTCAGAGCCAAGCACACACAAAGCTGCAGGGTTTTTATTTGCTTCACGCTGAGAACTATAACATCTACTACTTTGCCTGTATTTCACTAAACCACATGAAAGTGTCTACACTTTTATGGCCCTGTTTGTGTCATTAGCCACTTGCTGAACCCCTCTAAAATGTCTTTATCTAAAGGGTAAGGAAAATATGGGATACAAATTCACAAAACTGAATGATCTGCATGTGCAAAGCTTGCCATTTTGGCTCATATAAGAGGTCAATGGTTAGACTTTATGGCCTGCGATTTTCTGAGTTCATGACTGACTACATGGGTATGAGTGTGAGCTATGGTAGGTATCCTATCTGCTATAATGGAAATAGAGGCATGCACAGGCAGCTAGCTTAATGACCAAAACTATGGATTTGAATGTTGACAAACCATATTTGTCTAATTGAATGCTAGAAAACTGTATTAAAGCCACAAAGCTACCAGGAGCCATGCTAGCAAATTCACTGTAGGTCATAGATAATCAAAATGAATTTGTTATGAAGCTCTGGTCTGTGAGAAGATACATGTTCCTAGTGTGTACACACCTGTAATCTCAGCCCTCTGGATACAAGGACATAAAGATAGAGTAGCTGAATGCAGCCTGGGCTACAAAGTAAGGGAGTGAAACATGGTGCCCCTCTGTGCCTGCATGCTCTTTCTTCACCTGTGTATTATTTTGTTTAATTTGCAGAAGTTCTTGTTTTTAAGTCTTATCTCCCACTCTCTGGGATGGGGACATCTGTAGTTTTTGCTTCTATTTTTCTCTAAGTAACTGTTTCTGCAAAGATTCTCACGTATTCTTCCAGAAAGTTCAAGTATGGACTTATAATGCCATCTTTAAGAGCTAGATAAACCCTGGATGAGTGACTGTTGCAGTAGTTGATTAATCTGCTCTAATTTCACTGGTGGCAGTCACCCCAATGTTCTGGATTCCTAAAGACACACACACACACACACACACACACACACACACACACACACACACACATGGTCTTATATTTAAATATGCCTTAAACAGCTCAATTGCTGGGCCACTCCCAAACTTCCAATGTTGCTAATGCCTCCCCTCCAGTACTCCTGAATTATTTCTTACTAAAATCTACATTCCATCTTTGCTACCCTAGACCCAATAGGGGTGCCCCCTGGAGCCACTCTTCCCCGGCTCTTATATGATTGATATCTCTCTCTGCAGCTCTCAAACTTACATCTTATTCCTTTCCTGGCATGGTGATTCTCCTTCTTCCTTGATCCCCTTGCCCACAAATCCTAAAGTCTCTCCTCTGCCTCCCTGCCCAGATATTGGCCAATGGCAACTTTATTTACCAATCAGAACCAACTGGGGGCAGGGACCCTCAGCGTCTTACATACAGAATCTTGGTGGAATTTTGTGAACCCGAATAACATAATACAGCATTAAACCAAATCCACAAGTGACTGCAGATTTTCAAAGCAAGACTGCGATTAAAAGGGTAGAGCACGTGATCTGCCTTCAAAGAGCCGACTTTCAGGGCACCTCCTGTAAGTGTAGCTGTTTACGGTACACCTCTGCTAACCTGTGGCCCTTCTCCCTCCACACACTCCAGCTGGCTTCTCAGTTGTATGGTTAAACTAACACCACAGAGAAAGAATACTTCATTTCTATTGGTGACCCAAGTCAGAGATGGGACACTGGAGTAAGAAAGAAGTCCAGTCCTCTACAGAGCATTGGGCATTGTCTAGGGCCAAGTCTCATGGAGACTGAGTACACATGGTTTAAAGTCAGTAATCTGATTAGGGAGCAGGGGTAAGGGTGTGTGACTCACCTGTGCTTGGTAAGTGCCCAGTTCTCACTCATCCCAGTGACTCTGAGGAGGGGCAGGAGGAGCACCTCAGAGGCCAGCATACATGTAGTCCTCAAGACATGCCTTAAGAAGACGATGGGCCAATGTAAGAACTCTGGCCAGCTCAGATGTGGCAAGCATGGCTCTGGCAGGCTTTGCCCTTCTCTCCCATTTCCCTGATTTTCTAAAAACCTTTAAATTACATTCCTAAAGCTAGCCACCAAGGTCTACTCCCTTATTTGGCCACTTCCTCCTTGTCCCTCTAGGGCAAATAAATCTCCTCTGTGCTGAGATCTTGGGTCTTGGGCGTCCTGAGCTGATACTTTTCCTGTTAGGCCGTTACACAGGTGATTTATGAACTAAGTAATTTAGCAGAGCTGGACCTAAGAACTGGGGAATAGAGGAGTCTGTCCTGATAGTAGAGTTTGGGTAAATCTTAAATAGGATTTTTAAGTTTACTTAGTTTTGAAAGAGGAACAACTACCTCAGACTGGTCCTTAGAACAGATGCAGTAAATGAACTGCTGCTGTGCCTGTTCTTTATTTGAAAATTGGTCTAATGTCTTCTCAGAGTAACACCTGGAGATCCATACTCATGCCTCTGGACTCTGTTTCCACAATTTTCTTGGTATATCAGAGGTTCTTTAAAGGAACAGAACCAATGAGATACACACACACACACATACACACACAAGATAAAGACCTTACTAAGTCAATTAAGTTAAAGTGACGGCTGAGTTATACCCGAGAGGCTGGTAGCTGCTTGGTCCTTGAAGCTGGTCCTCTACTGGAGTTGTCCTATGGCAGCTGTCTGTCACTGCAGAGAAGGCCACTCTCATTCACTCAGCCCACAAGGCTGGGTGTGTCAGCAGTCTCAGTCTGGCACTGAAAACCTGGAACTTTCCTGGAGAGCCAATGATCTGGAGTTTTGACATGCTGGTTCTGACATTAGCAAAAAGGCTCATTGTAGCAACAGGGAAAATCAATTCAACACAAGGGACAAGCTGAACTGCTGAAAGGTGCTACCCACACTCAAGAGGGCACTGGGCATGAGTTGAGGCAATCAGGACAGGTCTTCCAGTGAGGGGCCAACTCAGCAGATTCTAATTTGTAGTAAGTTGACATTAAAACAAACTGTAATGCTTTTGATTCATTTAGTTCTGCGCAGAATCATCACTATCACCACTGTGAGCAGCAGCAGCAGTGGCAGCACCTTAGGCAAGGTCCGTGCAGCCCAGGCTGGCCTGAAACTCACTATGCATTCCAAGGTGGCCTTCCACTCATTGGCCTCCCAGAGCTGGAATTATAGGCATGTCCCACTTAGTTCAAAAAGTGCTTAGATTATTTTTGAACATTTTCTCTCAGGCCTCTGACACTGGTTAAAACTGAAGGCATGTACACTGGAAGCCAGGGTGCTCTGATCCTGCCCTACAGAGCCTCTCTTAGGGACCCCTGTATACAGATGCTCTTTGCTCTGATAACCTCCCCTTGGTCCATATATTCTTGTTTTGGGAGTTAACAATCCTTAGGTGAAAAAGAGATTGTCCCCAAGAGCCAGTGTCAGGCTAGGAGATATCCCAATGGGTAAAGGCACTTGCCACCAAGCCTGAGTTCAAACCCCAGCCCCACATGTTGAAAGGTGAGACAGATTCCCGCAAGTTATCCTCTTAGCTCCATGCTCGCATGAGCATGCACACGTGTGCCACATACATAAAGTTTGAGTGAAGCAATACTGTGGACCCTTGATTACAGTCTTCTCAGATTTTTAATAAAAACTCTCAAAAGTTGAACAATAATTTGATGGGCAGAATTAGGTTTAAAGTACTTCAATACAAAGGTATTAAGGGAAATAGAGGCAGAGACTAAAAGATATTTTAAAAACCCAATTTACTTCATTCCACATGCTTAAAATCACAAAACAACTACCACAGGGATAGCCGACAGTTTCTTTTTAAAAGCATTATTCCTTCCTTATTTGACTGAATGAGATGTCTAGCCCAGACAGGCCTTGAGCTCTCTGTGGAGTAAAGAATGTCTCTTACGTGCTGAGACAACAGGTGTGTGTCCCCATGCGTACAGTTTCTATGGTGCTGAGGATAGAACCCAGGCCCCATCTCTGCTAGGATGGCATTCAACCAACAGAGCTACATCCTAACTCCATGCTCTCATGTTTGTTAGCTTACCCTCCCATGCCTGGAGTCGTCTCCTCTTTAACCCCTGTCTAGTCTCAGTCCCACAGGGTTAATGCACCCACAACCTGTATCTAATCCTGTCCATTTGTAGCTATAGATACAGGGAGGCTTCTGGAAACAGGATTATTAATTCATGTTTCTCTCGCTTCAGCTTTTCCAGAGAAAAGTGTTTTCCTGTGGTTCTGAAGGGTACATTTCCTTTTTTCAAAAACTGTTTTCTGATGCTGTCTTCTCTTGTGAGTGTGCGGTGCTGGGGATGGAACCCAAGCAATGCCTTGTTCATGCTAGGTGAGTGCTCTTCCACAGAGCTCCAGCCACTGAAAAGCTGGTGATGATGAGCCTGTTTCTTTTGCCTCAAGTCATGAGCTTTAGGTTAGTTTCTTTTCCCTCGCTGAGTAAAGCCTTTCCAGGTTTCTCATTCTACTGAAGTTACCATGGAGTTGCTCCTTCAACATTCACTTCAGTGTTTTGGTTGGGAATTTAAGGAAGTTTTTTCTTGCAGTATATTGTTTTTAGTATTTATTGTCTTTAAATGATGATTTGATGATTGACACTCTCTGGCAGACACTCTTTATTGTCTTCAGTGTTTACTTCTTTGATCTTTAGATCTTAATGGACTTTCTTCATTTTCTCTTTAAGAAAGCTTAAGTTTTGTTTATTCATATTTTCTTTTTAGTTTAGTCTATTAAAAACATTCCTTTTTGAGATATAGCCCCTTACTATACAATTTGTCTACTTAGATTTGAGCACATATCACAAATATGTCAACGTTAGAAAACTTGCATCAAAACCAAAACAACCTGCTACCTTTCATCTTCCTCTCTTGTACTCTATAACAGGTATAATTCCCTTCCATCTCTACAAATAGGCCTTCCTAGAGTTTCATATAAAGAATCATAAAAGAGGCAAGTTGTAAAAGCTGTTTGTTTTTTTCACCCTGTACTCAGCATGTTTTAGGGCTCATCTAATATTTCATTCCTTTTTACGGCTAAATATGCTTCATTATACATACGTTATCTTTTTATCAATACATCCACAGATGAATATTTGGGTTGTTTCCACCATTTGGCTTTATGAATAAACACTTCCCCCACATCTGACTATACATCCACCAAACATATTCCTTCTCCCTTGTATGTTTATAAAACACAACAGTGAACATATAGAATATAATTTTTTTTAAAAAAGCACCTAAAGAACAAATTATCCAATCAACAGCAGGCAAAAATCTATACTAGTTATCAAAATCTGATTCTCAAATTAGATTGCAACTTGGGATCCAAGATATAAACTAATATGTGCATAGAGATTGTCCAAAGGTGCTGCTGGGTTGTCTTTCGCTCTCAAATACAGGGGAGGGGCAAAGAAGAGATATAAGAACAGAGGGAAACTGTTTGCTGGAAGTAACTGGAACAGGATTGGAGGAGAAAGAAAAAAGCTTAAAAACATGAAAAATAAAGCGATTCATGTAAGTTAATCAACATATTACCAATGGACTACTGAAAATAATTAAAAAGACACACCTCCTCCCAGCGGAAAAAGATGGTGGGGGAGCATGTAGCTGAAATCCCTATGAGCAGCAGGGCTACAGCTGGGCGCTGGATTCCTACCTCAGAAAAAGGAGACACAGGAATACTGGGTGTTCAACCAGCCATTTGCCAGCAGAGGCTTCAGAAGCTACTGGCCCTTTGGGATGTGCTAATGCTGCACCATTGTTAGTTGGGCCAGGCCATTCATTCAGACATGGTAGCTAGTTACAAAACTATTCATGAAAAACCAGGGACTCCTCTCCACTCTGTCTGTGAAACACTGCTGCTGGATGGATCAGGATAGAGTAATCTGGTGAGTGCTCCAGCAACCTATGCAATTAACATCCCCTTCAGAAAAGCTCTTGATAGCTCTGCAGAATTCTAGGTTTAAAGGGATTTGAAGGCTGCCTGCGCCAGAGCTTCCCACTGATCTGCCAGCTGCTGGGGAAGCAGCCAGTCTGGAAAGAAACCTTCAGGACAGAGTGTTCTTCTTTTCCAGCTGGTGTGGAAAGGTCTGCAGAAGGATTAATTATCTCAGGCCACTGGATGCCAAACTTCAATCTTTGCTAATACCTTTGGTCTGGGATGAGAGTTGTTAGTGTTCTTGTAAAGCTCTTTAAACACACCTAGTCCCAAACTACAAGTGTGAAGAATGTCTAATATTTTTCATTGGTATCTTAAAAATTTTAAGAGATTAAATTTCTTTAGTGTCTGTGTTTGTGTATTTGTGCACTGCCAACAGTGTGCACACTGAGACTATCTTGCAGAGTCAGTTCTCTTCTTCCACCCTCTGGGGATTAGTAACTGAACTACTGTTGTCTTTAAAATTTCCTCTAAGCTCAGGTATGGTAGCACACACCAGTAATCCCAGCACCAGGAAGCAGAACCAGGAGTTTTAGGCCAGCCTGTCATACATAGCTAATTTCAATTCAACCAAAGTTATAAAGTGAGATTCAAAATGTAATTAGCACATAAATAAAATTCCTTTTAAGACAACCACTGTATTTGTTATCTTCAGCAACATGTCTACCACATGGAGTAAAAAGTATGGAAGTACAGTTTTATTCAATCTATATCAACACCATAGACACCCACAAAACTGGACCACCAGCAGTTACAGCATTCCATGTTTTAAGACTAATAAGGACATACAGCATCAATTCCTGAGTGAACAGTGCAGTGTAAAATTTAATCTGTATTGCTCAGAAGATATCTTGCAGCATAAAAAGTAACCAAAATGATTGCTTTGTTTATTATGTCATAAAATACAAGTGTTGACTGCAGAGCAGTGATACTATTTCAGTGGTCAGAAAACTTGCAGTTCAAAACAAAGGCTCTTGTATGTACCTGCTGCCATGATTGACCGTCCAGGTCAGGCGTCCGCAGTAAAATAAGTCATGGTACAAAACTAAACCAAGAAGTTACTTGCACTGAGACACATGACTTCACTTGAGAAAGCCTGGATTCTGATTAACCTTCTACACATACAAAAATTCTTTTAAAAAATCCTAGGCAATCACAAATATAAACTAGTTCAATAAAAGACAATGGCAGCTTTTTCTTATGCTGTAAAACCGTGAATCTCATCATCAGAAAAGTTAAGATCATGCAGCAACCTGAAAAACAAAACATGTATGACTTTTAGGGAAAGTGTTTACAAATAAAGTCATGCGATCAAAGCTTGCCAACATACCCTCTTCATTTTCTCAAGTCATGTTTGTTTTTAAAGAACACAATGAGCACACCAGAAACTTAATTACTAAACAGTATCAGCGATTTAACCAGTATTCAATTTTTTAAATGGTTTTACAAATGCCACTAATTTTAAATGACTTGAGTTAAGATCCAATTATAATTCACTCCTTGTAAATGGCAGACATGCTCTTGGATATATTTGACCTCTAAGATCCTTCTTTCCTTTTTGCTCTCACCTCTGCCATGTTCTGTAGTTTATGTGCTAAAAACCATAATATTTTTACTGTGGACTATTCCACAGTCCTCTCTGCTGCACTCCTATGACATTCTTCAACAGCATGGCCCTGTGACCTCTATTCCTCATACTTAATTAAATGTATGGAGTCTAGGGCTTTATTACATATAGATTTAATTCTCTGTCTGCTGCATTCAGAGTGTTACTACTGTATGACAATGTACAGCTGCCTCTCTTATTAGATGCTAGCAACCACTGGTGACCTGTGAAATCTAAGATTCTACTTCCATCATTCTTCATTGATCAACTGAAGGCTTCACTAAAGAAAGCCTGCTCTGTGGTCATGTGGCTATCCAGCAACTAGCTCATATAGAAAAAGGCAGAATAAATGCTTTATTTTCCCACTTTCATTCACCAGTTTTCCAAGCGAGGGACAGGAAACCACACTGCTAAAATACACTTCTGCCTGGAAAATCATACAGAGAGTGAGACCACAGAGGTGGCTGCTGAAGATGACCATTCAGCACTGTCTGACCAGAGCAGAAACGGTCACAGTAAGGGCCCATGTGGCACAGCGTTAGGACACAGCAGGCAAGCCTCTCACTCTGGGGCCTATTCTACTTTTGTAGACATGTATACTGTCTCCTCCAGAGAAGGGCTTCACTGTAACCGCAGTCTACCATTTGAATACCTTTAACACACCTCGTTCTCCCTGCCCTTCTCCTACTAGTTCTGTTGGGATTGTGTGTGTTGCTTTGAATAAACCCAGGGTCATATACATAAGAGGTAGACATTCTGACACTGAGTTACATCCCTAGCTCTTCTGTGTGTATATATATATAGCTCAGGCTGTCCTGGAACTCCCCATCATCCTGCCTCTGCCTCCAGAATACTGAGGTTACAGGTGTGCACATCACAAAAAGCTCTGGAACCATGGCAGTCTACATTCATAACTGCATAGGTCCTTTATGATCACATGGTTCTGGTCTCCTCAAAACATACCCCAGGTGACAGTACCTGACTATCTATGGTGCTCCAAGTTATATTCCAGTCACATTTGTCTCATCACAGGACAGTGTGAGCCTCTAAAGTTGAGTCTGCTTATCCACAGTACAAAGTTGTGAGTAGATCAAAGTATCACTATCAGTTGTTTGTTTTTAAAGTATAGGCTTCTAAACCTTTATTATACAAATGGACTCATGAAACGAGGAAGGTATGCTTGGAATACAGCTAGGTATCTAGCTGGTTCTGAGAGGGCTTGGATCTAGGCCTACCCATGGACACCAAAGTCTGCAGACCCTCATGATTCTCATAAAATGTGTGTGTGTCCTTTGTATAAACATCTCCCAAGACACTTTAAGTTACCTCTAGACTAGTTACAACACATCAAACAACATAACTGCTGTATACCTATGCTGTGCTGCCAGGAAGTGATGACAGCAACTGTGAAAATGCACAGTGCCAGGGCAATGTCTTAGAGTATTCCTGATCCAGATGTGGCAGTGGAAGTGATGGAGAACTGACTTTTGTGCACCATGCAGCAGACATGAGATTAACTCTAGAGGTCTTAGGAATGAGGATGACAAAGGCCTTTTACAGAACAAAACTATGATAAAATAAGAGCCTCTTATCACTTTTGGTATGAAAGGCACATTAGCTGGGCATGATGCCTGAACCACACCACCCAGGAGGTAGAAGCAGGCCGATCTCGAAGTCTCAAGTCAGCCAGGGATATATACTGAGACCTGGCTCAGACAGAAAGACAGACACATTCCATCAAGATGGTGACAACAAGACATCAAGGAAATGAGTCTGAACTAAAGCCACAAGGAAGATGCTATGAAGTACAAATACTGATCTGGGTCAAGTCACCCTGACAGGCTGCTCCATCAGCTTGTTCAGAGGAGGTAATTTCAGGAAGCCATGGGGAATGGTTAAGAGCCCTGCTGAGCTTCGTAGCCAAGCAAGCTCAGTATTGGAAGATTAGTTTTGAGGCAAAATTGAGGAACTGTAGAGACTACAGTTGCTTAACAGCATGTGAAAATCCTACAGTCATGACATCCTACAATTTAATGAGCAGATCGAGTGGTTCCAGTCTGCATCTGAGTGGCTAAGATGTGCAGAAGCAAATGAATGAAAATGAAGACATGGCCTCAGCTCCAGCAGACCACCAGTCATGGGGGAAGAACGGAGTTCTGCTAGGAGGGTGTGCAGATGCCCCTGTAGCCAGTCTTTCCATGCTGAAGATCTGAAGTTTCCACTGCCTGACAGCATCACTGCGGCCTAAGGATGCTCAGAGACACACGAGCCAGCGGTGTAAAGCGGTGCAACACTTGGCCTTGATTTCCAATAAAAGAGAATCCTGCTTTAAAACTTGGAGTCAGGGTTTTTGTAAATAAATTTTACAATAAAATTAAACTTAAATTATCTAGAAAATGTTAGGTTTATAAAAACCAAACTTAAGGAGTTTCTAATCTAGAAATCCAGTACATGCTACATTTAACCAAATATTTTAAGGTATCATATAAGGTGGTTTTCATTGTGTGGTCTGAACATGGGTCTTGCTTGCTTATGTAGTATAATCTAGCATCTTCCTTTGACTTGCTGCCTGACTTGGGATCACAGTTTTATTTACCAACTCCTATACAGCTGCAGAGACTAAAGGCAGAGTGTGACACTAACAGGAAAATGGCTTGCTTGTAGTGATTTACATTGAAGGTGGTGAAGATGAGATTGAGAGTCCAACCTTCCATAAGACTGCGGCACTGACCTTGTAACTGTTCTTGACAGCCACAGGCAGAGGACGACATCGACTGCTGCATCCAGCGCTAAGCACAACCCGGCTCCAACCTCTGTCCCTTGTATGGAGACTAGCAGCTGCACTACTTTCATAGCAACCACAGATTTTGGTGTGTGACAGACAGCATGGCAGAAAGAGCCAAAGGCTGGTCAAGTGCTCTGTGACCTTCCATTGCAGGGTTCTAGCCCCCAACCGCCACTCACCTTATCCCCTCATCTGTAAATGGTGTTGGTCCACAGATGCAAAAGAAGACCCTAGAGTTTTCTAAACTTCTTTGCAAAAATTCGGAGAGAAGAGCTCGTGACACCTGTCCCCGTTTGCCGTTCCATTCTGGAGAAGGTGCCGAGAGAACAAATTCAACATGAAATCTAGGACAAGAAAAGAGTTTTTAAAGTCTGTCATTTCAAACCCACTACTGTCACATTTTAAGGTAAGACTCCTTTCCCAAAGGACAGTTTAACACAGACACACACATGAATGCAAATACACTAAGGATTGGTTTTGCTCTGGGTAAAGGCAATGAATAGAGCAGTGATTTGATTGTTTTATGCTTTTGTTTTGTTTTCTTGAACTCATTAGCAAGGGTCTCCATGAGATCTCAGAGACTGTTACACTGCCTGTGTGAGTCTCAGAGAAGTGCAATTTCCAGAGACAGGTATTTTAATCCCTGCTTAAATCTGCACCACAAATTTCAGACCATGGACTAATATGGTCAAGAAGCCTACGTGACTTCTTATCCCTGTAGTTCCAAACCAGGGAGATCTGTAGTCTCCGTGTCCAGAGATTAGTACTAACCCTGTGAATGACACTTGTTCACTTGGTTGTGTGAGGCATAACTTTAGCATTCCTCTCAGAAGCTTCTCCTTCCACCCTTTATATACAGCCTAGGAGCAGCCCTGGCTCCACCCTTCAGTCTCCACAACATGAGACTGGCTACTCAGTCTTCCTGCCATGATGATGTTAGGAACGCCATTCTTCTGCTCTTAGCTCAAGCTTCATGTCCATCAGCAAATTCTATGACCAGCCCCACTGGTCTTGGCTCCTTTACTCTGTGGCTGTAGAAATGGTGGCCTTTGCCTTTTCTTTGCAGCCCTTACTTCAGGTTGCAAGCATGTAATCCCCGAGGGAACTATTTTATTGTCCATTTTTCCCTTCAAACTCTATGAAAGCAGGGATGATACGAGCTTTGGCTACTGCATTCTAGTGGCCAAAACACAGGAGCACTTAAGCATTATGGAACCAGAAACACGGAAACTAAAGAAAGAACACACAGTTTAGTGAACTACTAAGTGAACTGCTGGCCAAAAGCTAGAAAACCGAAGTCCTGCCACCCAACACACTGCCATCTGGACAGCACCAGGTCACTGGACTCTTACACAGCCTACTCCTTTCTGAAGAGCAGCAAGCCCTGCTCACACATCAGCCTAAGCCTGGTGTGGGGCTGCTCCAAGAGGATTCTGGGGTAAGAGCTGAAGAAATTGAATGTGAAAATTGACTGCGGCTCCTGCTGCAGCTTTAATGTGGCTGTTGGCTGGCTGACACGCCCAAGCACTGACAGGCCAGGTGCAGCTGCAGACCAAGTAAGAGTACCAGGCAGTGGTCAGAGAACTAGCCCAGCTCTGCACACAGGCCCTGCCTCATGGGTTTCCCAGGGCATTCACTGGACTTGGTGAGGAAACTTCCCAACCAGTCACATCAATCAGGTAGTTTTCCCATCAAGGTTCCAACTTAGCCTACACAACGGTTCTAACCCATGCTTAGACTGCCTCCCCAAATGCAGGGCTAAGCACAAACACCTGAAAACTGCAACTCCAAACATTCAAATTCACAAACTTTCCGAGCGTCCACCTAACACTGATTGTGTTCTACTGGATTCTGCACCACTTAGATTTCAGATTAGAGACACTCAGTTGGTGAAGTCTATGCAAACACTGGGGAACTCTCAAACTGAAACTGGAAGGACTCTGGTTCCTGGTATTCTGGATAAGGGACCCTCAACCTGCACCTTGTTTCACTAAATCATTGCTAATACCTTTTATCTAAATGTCTTTCTACCATGGTGAATCAAAAGCCAAAGATGGCCTTTTATGGCTCTATTTCCAATGAACTTTTTACTAAAATAAAACTGCTAAGATATAAAGTCAGAGTTAATTGTCCATAAGCTGAAATGGATAACTGTTTGTAACCTTCCTTTTTGGTATGCTTTTTAAAGAAGGCTAACCATTTCTATGAGCATCTACTTAGACAATGATCTACTTAGACAATGATAAGCCCTTGAGCTCTCTATGTAAACAGCATATACTTTTCAGGCCTTTTGTACTCAGTCACACACTGGTTCCTTCCCTACAGTCTGGTACTCAATGGACAGAATGAAAAGGCAACACAGATCATTTAAGGTTATCATGAAGATGCTGCTGTCCTGGGTGAGGAAGAGCTTTAACCAGAGTGGGAGCAAGTCCACATTAAGATAGAATGGATGATGTCATTTCTCAAATCACTGTAGTGCCTTCTCTGGGAATCTTCTCTTTGACACAATTATAGCACTAAGCCACTGGGGACCAAAGAGGTCATCTTTAAACCCTGACCCAAGGAAAAAAATTAGGATTCTTGAAAGGTTTACCTGAAAACAAATAAGGCAACCCACAAAATGCAAAGTGACAAGGAGAGAAAAGGAAAGGGTAGACTTGAAAACTGCAACTCCAAACATTCAAATTCACAAACTTCCTGAGCATCCTTGCTCCTTGAGAATATCCTTCCTTCAGGGTTTAATGGGTTTAATTGACTGAGTCAGGTGAATCTGATATTAATCAAAATGGTCTCTTCTGAGGACAGCTGATAAGCATTGACTTGCTGTCCCCTTAGGGAAAAGCAAACCCCAAATTGCATAATTTACCTCATTATCCACAGAGTGGGATCAGTTACATGTGACATAATTCCTGTTTGAAGATAAAATCTTAGTAAATCCGACAAAGTCTGAAGACAGAAGCAGCACTGGGACATCCAGGCCACTACAGAGCATTGCCTGAGTTTCCACTCAGTTAACGTTCATTTGGTTGCCAGACGGACCTGTACCTGTATTAAAGCTATGTTAAATAGAATTTAAGAAAGAAGTCCTTTGTTTCCCTTGCTTTGTTTGAATAAGCAATATATATCTTGAAAAAAAAAAAAAAGAGGACTTGCTCCTTGAGAATGTACATGTGGCATGAGACCAAAACAGGAAGAAGAGCCCTTACAGGTTCAGTTCTGTTTGCAGTAAAGAGTAAGTTCCTGTTTGTGCTGTGTGACCCAGATACACTAGATGTGCCTGATCACATGTGGGCTGGAGGTACACAGAGGACTATGTCAGGATGGATGCTTGCTCCAGATTGGACCTGGGAAATGTGGCAAGTTGTTGGTTTTGCCTTTATAAGCCCCCGCAAAAACATGACTTGTGGCCATTTTCTGGGAACCCAGAGATGGACCTGGTCAGAGATCCACCCTCCCAGTATTAAATTAAAGCTTGCTTCAAACTTGGCTTAAGATTGTAGTAGTGGTCTTTTTCTCAGCCTAATTCACTGGAATTAACAGTGGACTAAAAAGTCACTAGGAATAAATTAATCTATTGAAAAAATTTAAAGTGGATAGTGTTCACTCTAACATATACAGAGTCCGTCTATCTAGCAACTGATTTCTCCCTCTTGCTTTCAAAACATACCTCTTCCTTCTGGTTTCTCACATTTGTCCATGACACTTCCCTATTCTACTGCCTCAGCCTCAGGTGGGACCCACAGATCTTAGATCTGTCCAACACATCACAGCCATATTAACTCTCCTAAAACCTAAAACCTGGGAAGGTCTCTATTGCCTACAGATTAGCAATTCAAAGCTCTTGGTGTCCCAGCCTTTTGGTTTTTCTGTATTTGTCATATAGAAAAATAAGCTTTTTCATTGAAGTACCAGAACATTCTGGTCTTAAAGAACCTAACTACTAGAGTTTCCTTTCCTGTTCACAGAAATGCTAATTTGTTTCCTATAATCCAGGTCATAATCCCTTGTTCCAGGAAGCCCTGGCACCCCTTCTCCTCAGAATGGGTGTGCTGGAGCAGTTTCCAGACAGCACAGCAATGCAGTAATGCAGATGTTCCTCTTCACTTGTGACTCAGTCCCGAGCTGCCAGGATTCTTTTCTTTTTCTATTCTAGTGGAAAACTATATAGTTTTTCTAGTGGGACATATATTACCAATATCAAATGATGTTGCTAGCTGGGTTGGGGGTTGGGGTGGGGGTGACTTTTGTCAAAGCCTTCACAGCCCAAGAACACTTTCATCTCTGACTCTTCGGGACTCTTATCCTGAGTACTTAGAGGAGTACAGAAGAAATTCTCACCATGCCATATAACACAGGCTGGTTAAATAAGCCATGGTATGTTCACATGATAGAACACAGTGCTATTATTAAAAATCATGGTACAATACATGGCTTTCCAGTCCACACTTCTGGCATTTTGAGCCATTCCTGGCTGTGATGGTTTGTATAAGCTTAGCCCAGGGAGTGGCTCTATTTGGAGGTGTGGCCTTGTTGGAGTAGGTATGTCACTGAGGACTTGGGCTTTAAGATCCTTATTCTAGCTTCCTAGAATCCAGGCTTCCACTAGCAGCCTTCAGATGAAGATATAGAACTCTCAGCTCTGTGTTGGGAGCCAACTCCTAGGTGAAAGCAGCTATCATCTTTGCAGCCATCTTGGGACATATATTTACAGGTTGATTTTTTGTACCCTGACAAGAGACTTGTTTTTCCTAGCATGATATTTTTGCAGGCAGCCCACAACTGCTGAGCACGTACTGATAACATCTTGTTTTTCTCAGATGTATCCTGGATTTGCTGTTTAGTGCCCTCAATTGCAAGGCACTTGTAGTAAAGTGTCTCCTGCTGCCCTCCCCTGCTTGTGCTTCTATACCCATAAATGCTTTTCAATAAACGAGACTTGATCAGACACCCTGTCTTGTCTCCATTCTTTGTGTCTCTTTCCCCTCCATCCCCACTCTCTCACTTGCAGACCCTGCTGACTGACGCACAGGCTGGGTCACCTGGCGTCCAACGAGAGACAGTAAGAATGAGAGACCTCATGACGGACATTACTGGAAGAAGGGTCAACTGAAAATTCAAAAGTAAAAAAAAGGTGATCACCGTAGGAACCTGCTGAGTCGAGACCAGTAAGTCATAGTGATGAAAATGGGGCAAGAAATTAGTCAGCAGGAGCTCTATGTGGAACAGATGAGAAGGCTTTAAAGATGTGAGGAGGAAAGGGGAAAAGTCAGCGTTTGTTGTCATTTTTTGATTTTATTAAAGAGTTATGTCCCTGTTTTCCTCAAGAAGGAACCACTGATGA